CCCACCACGGGTATCGAAACCCGGTTTCTAGCGTTGTAAATCCGCAGACATACCAATGTGCCACTGGGGAGCAATATATATAATTTCTAAAAAGGATAGAAATAGTAAAAGAATGTTACGCCCACAAAGCGTTCAATCCTTGATCCACGTTAAATCTAAAAATTAGCACTAGTGAGACCACAACACGCGTATTTCGATAACTTTTAATGAATAATTAATTTTCTTTGACTCTGTATTGTAGTAAGAACTCTTATGTATTTATACTTTTACTTTAACAAGACACTGAAACACAAGACATCTATACAAAACATTTGCTTTAATCTTTCTTTTTTTCTTCTTAAATAAGATAGTTTTTTGTTTGCACCGTATAATCGTTACATTTGCAAATTTTGAAAATTTCAGCGAAGATGGTTTTAGGGAAGATAAGCATCTTCAAATAACATCTTTTTTATAGATAATTTTCTTTAACATGTTTACCAGATAGCGTCACCGTAGGCGACTACTCTCCCAGTATTTGGGTTAACACGTGATCCTAATGCTGAAAAAAATAAAGATGCATAAAACCATCTTTGTTGAAACTTTCAAAATAATGTTCTTATCTGAAAAGTACATCCAGGAATTAATTAAACTTGACAAGTCTCCATAGAACCTCTCGGCATGGCTCTTTTAAGTGATCTTAATGTATAGATAAACGTTAATTAACATATCCGCCCTCTCAAACGTATAGTTTTTCTGTGCTGTTTACCTTATAGTTTCAATATTAACGGCTGAAAGTACCAAGTACTAATGAAGGAAAGACAGCTTTGTGAGGTAACTGTGTGTATATTTTAAGCAAACAAAAGTAAATCATCTGTAAAGAATGAAATACTGTTATATGAATGAATATAGAATTCACTAAACTTTGAACTTCCTTACGCTTATCAGAATATTTCTATTGAGCTTCTTGAAATATCGAGACATAAGTTCGAACCGTTCTGACATCGGCGACAGAAAATAAGCTCTTTACGTGAATTGCTTCGACCTTATTCTTTGTACTTATTCTATGTGGCTAATATCTCCACATTTATAGAATGGAAAAAACCTGCCACATCTAAATATATATGACAACAAACGGATAGTAATTTATCATGTGATCGTATTGCAACAATGCTCACAATCAAGCTGCTCAGTTATACAAGCCTAGCTTCGTTAATATAAGTGTTTTTTTACATCATGTGGAATATAGGGCCATCACCATAAACTTTAATCTTTGACGAGTAATATAAACTGGAATTGAGCAAATGCAGTAGCCCCGTGAAGAAACAATAAATTGGTTGACAGAGTGAATCAAGTGCCCATAGAGCAAGCATATTATATTTGTTCAAATTGGTTGACAGAGTGAATCAAGTGCCCATAGAACAAGCATATTATATTTGTTCAAATTGGTTGACAGAATGAATCAAGTGCCCATAGAGCAAGCATATTATATTTATTCAAATTGGTTGACAGAGTGAATCAATTCTCATAGAGCAAGCATATTATATTTGTTCAAATTGGTTTTCAGAGTGAATCAAGTGCCCATAGAGCAGGCATATTATATTTGTTCAAATTGATTGACAGAGTGAATCAATTGCCCATAGAGCAAGTTATAACACGATTAATATTCCCATTGTCACTTTCCTATTAACTACCCTTTCCCTATCATTTGGTGTTTGTTAAAGTTTAGATAAAGGAGTGTTTCACACGTGACACAGAAAACAAGAATAGGCCTAAAATTATTATACAGAAAGCTTACGTATGATTATATAAAATATAATTTTAGCATGATTTATATAAGTATACAACCGAAATTATATTTGCTTTGATCGCTGCTGTCTTACCAAGAAATTGCGTATGCACAGTATATCAGAAACAAATATTTACATTATATGCTACCAACTTACCGATGGATTACATGTGGGTGGATCATTATCGAATCTTTAGGAGCCAGCCCATCTTCTAGGTACTTTGCTTGAAAAGGAAAATTATTGAGGATCAATCGTACACTATAACAACGATGTTCCAGGTCCGGGCTTGCTCTCGAAGCTACTTCATTGCCAACCGTGTTCACTCTGGTGGCTATATAAAATTACGCCCTACTGTTTGACACTGCAATCGATCTCACTGGACCTAGCATGACTTGGTGGTTAGGGCACTCGTCACGCAATCTGCTGGTCGTGGGTTCGAATCACGGTCACTAAAAGTGCTCGCCCTTTCCGCCGTGGGGGAACTATAACGTGACGGCCAATCCCACTATTCGTTGTTAAAATCCACATAAAATCCGCAAACATCCAAAACGTTAAATACCATAAGCAGCAGCGCTACAACTACATAAACATAATTTTTTTACATCACAAAAATAGGAGTTCGCCGACCCCGCACCCTATGTGCGTGCTTGGAGATAAGTACATTAACCTAGAGCCTTATTTTGTGTAGAATTTGTTGTCGTGTCTAAAAACATATACTTAATATACACTTTTTAACAATGCTTGCCTTCTTATATTAATCCAGAAAGAAACCAAAATAATAATAAATAAGTTTGAAATAATTTGTGATTTAAACAAATAAGTATTAAATATTATGAGAAGATACAGATTTTATATGATTGCTTTTGACAACGGAACGTTTGTCAATTTCAAAATATAACTTCATGAGTTCAAAATTCGAGAAAAATATGCCTACACAAACTATAACAAAGTAACGCAGTACGTAAGACAGGTGTTTTTGTTTTTTAAACTCAAAGCTACACAATGGACCATCTACACTGTGTCCATTTCGTGTATCGACCCCCCATTTTTAGCGTTATAAGCCCAAAATCTTACCGCTGAACCGCCGGTAATGTAGAAAAATGTGGTCTTAATTAATATTACACCTCTTCCGGTCAACAATAAAACACTTTCTGTTCTCATTAATATAAGTATAAACTCATACGTTTTCAGGTAAAAATGAAAGTATATTGTGTTAAACTGTTTATCTTCTATGAACAAATACGCCCGTCTGTTTTGGCTATTAATTATCCACCAACAAACAACACAACGATAGATATTTTAGTTGGACAAAAATTCATCCATACTTTGTTTTTAAAGAAAGACGCTTTAAGAATCTTCCTGTCCTTCAGTATGTCGGTAGTAAGCTTACTGACTTCCATCGCTAAAATCTGAGGTTTGATTCTTCATGGTGGACATAGCATGGATAGCCTACTGTGTAGCTTTGCGCTAAAACAAACAAGAAACTTCTTGACATATGTATATCAACATTTTGAAATTTATTTTAATTATTTGTTTATTTTCCTCAGTTTTAATAAAAATTTATAATCAGTTTGAAGATTTTCAAATTTAATGAATGACTAAGCGACCGAAATAGTTTCTAGTATGTTCCACGAACATCAATAGCATTTAGGAACTAGAGCTATTCAAAAATGCATATTTTAATTCGTGTATTTGAAGAGCAAACAGTTTCTCTGCAGATGCTTTAACAGTGTGATAATACGATAGTTTTAGTTTGTTATATTTTATTTTTGTTTCCATATGGACGCTCGATACCATTTCAACATTGAAGAGGAACAGTTTGTACAATGAATTATTATAAAGACGTTTGTGTGTGTGTTGGTAATTTCATTGATATGTTAAATCTCAGTATATACTTACTTTTTGGAGTATTTCATTTAAAACATGTTTCATTACTACCGTATTCGAATTTAACTTCGAAAAGAACCGGAGGTGGACTAGTTGTTAATGTGCTAGATTTCGAATCGGAAAAGCCAAGTTTACATCCAGCGATCTCCCGCTGAATGTGCTTCGCACGTTCAGCAGCGCACTCGTTATAAAAACTATAAAAACGACAGTCAATGTCAGTACTCGCTTAAGAGTAGAACTGTAATCTGCAGGTGCTGTTGACTGGTTTTCCTCCTTCTTGTCTAGCAGTTCTATAAAATAAGGATGGCTAAACCTAAACTCTGAGGTCTGTGATCTGGCCGTTTAACCAGTGATGGTTAAGTCTGATCTCTGGGGTTTCTGATCTGGCCGTTTAGCCAATGTGTCACATAAAGTGACGTTCAGGTTGAAAATACCTAATATCAGCTACGAATATAAAAGAACACTCTGATAACACACGCAAACATTTATATTTTCATTGTTTTGTCGCTTTCTCATCACACTAAATAATTCAGCTAGTTGTTTCTTCACTCTAGCATTTAATTACAAGTCAATAAAAATATCCCGAGAGCATGATTAAAGAGAAGCTCGAATACAAATACAGAGTGGGTCGTACCTAAATGTATTGAAATAGTTTTCAGTTCGCTTATTTGTTATTACAATTTATTAACTATTGTTTGTTTCTAAGAACCTGTTGATGATTGCATCTGCTTACTGCTGAAGCGGCTCATGAAATTACCAAAGAGTAAAACATTGGGTGTTGCAGGCATGAAGGATCGTTGTTGTTGATATTGGTTTTTCTAGTGCAAATTTTAAAACACAATAAGGTATTTGCATTCTGTCCACTGTGGGGAATCGAACCCCGGATCTTAGAGTTGTAAGTTCGAGCTTTTAAGGTATTACTATGAGTATTTATTTCATTATTTATTCTCCTTTAAAAAGAAAATCTTCTATTGACTTACGATCTCGATCCGCATCGAAAAACGGTTGAGTTGCCTGTTCTTCTGAAGTTTCTGAAACTTGAGCCAATTCAGTAAGATCAATGTATCCATTGTTATCTTTATCGTAACTTTCAAAGCTCGTAGGTAGGGCAACTGGACGAAATTCAACACTGTATGGAATAACACCATCTTCTTCGACAGCTAGCAAAGTGTTCGCATCTTCTGGAAGCACTTTCTGGCTTACGGGGATAATGGGAACATAATTGGACACTTCATCTTCCGTGGAAAGTTTCTTTGCTTTAGTCACATCCTGGACAGCGTTCTGTGTCTCTTCCACTGGGAAAGCGAGTGTTGGTGCCACGAGCAGAAACGTGATCAGATAAACCTGCATCATTACATACACTTCTTTAAACTAAAGTTCAAGGAATGAGCTTTGTAAGGTTGAAAGAATAAGGGCGGAGCTTATTACTGGCGTCACTTTGGACTCCGTAACAAATCAAAATTTTCTCTTTAGATGAAAATAGCGCGCTGCGGGAGTATACCAATATAGTGCCATCTATTGCCAATTATAAGTATTAATATTGATTAAACCGGAAAAAACTGGATAAACCTGCCATCAAGTACGTGATTGCGACATCAAAGTAGTTGTGTAAATTCACATCAAACAAAAAATTCTATAATATATATACTACAAAACAGTAATAAACTCGAATACTTAAGAAAGTGTAAAATTATACAGAATGAAAGAAATTACAAGTTCCTTATTGGATGAAATATTCATACGTAGATTAAATTCACATGGATATAAGAATGTAAAAGGTGAATGGACTTATTAGTAGTATTTCTCATAACTTTCGAATTTTACGCAAAGAAAATTTAGAAAAATTACTCATTTTGTAGAATAATAGGTTAATATTGACAAACAGAACACCTGTTTAGCAGTTACAGCCAACGTTAGACCTTATTTCATGTTTATAAATTCCATGTGTAATCTTAAAATAGTATTGTTAAACAACATTCAGCTCAAATAGCCAAAAGTCTGTTTTTTCTTTTAAGTTAATCAGTCTTAGTGTAAAACCTTTTGTCTGGATTTTAGTGAAATCTTAGTTTAATCTTCACCTTTTTGTATATTCAGATAACCATAGCGCAGTTTACTGCTTGTTACTAATTTCTTTATTATTTCGTAAATATCTGTTATGCCAAAGTATTACTATATGTCTCATACAGAGAAATTTCACTTAATTCATAAACACAGGACTAAATAAGAATAATGAAATATTACACGGTTAAGTCAGACTTAAGTTCTATTGCAGTATTCCACAATCCTTAATTTCACTTAATTCATAAACACAGGACTAAATAAGAATAGTGAAATATTACACGGTTAAGTCAGACTTAAGTTCTATTGCAGTATTCCACAATCCTTAATTTCACTTAATTCATAAACACAGGACTAAATAAGAATAATGAAATATTACACGGTTAAGTCAGACTTAAGTTCTATTGCAGTATTCCATAATCCTTAAATTACCTATGGCTACAACATTCTCATTCAATATATTCAAGAAAAATAAACTCCCAACGTAAACTGACTTGAACAAGTATCTGTATCACTCTTTGGAATTAGTATGAGTATGATTCTTCTCCAAGACTGTATGGCACAGAAAGGCCCGGCATGGCCAGGTGGTTAGGGCACTCGACTCGCAATCTGCATGTCGCGGGTTCGAATCCCCGTCACACCAAAAACATGCTCACCCGGTATCCCGGATACTCACCTCCAAAAGAATTTGGAGGTGTGAGAAACACCATACGAAACTACTATGGCACAGAAAGAAGATTAAGTAAGTATAAGCCCCATTGAACAACTATTGTTAGTGCAAGTTTACGACCATTCTATATCAGGATAACAAGGATGTTGCCAAGTACAAGCAAAACACCTGAACACAAAGTTAGATAAATCATCTGAGTTTAAAAGAATGAAATCATTATTTACTACTTATGGACGGATAAAATATGGTGATATTTTCAAATATCGCATACTCACAGATGTTTACATATTTTAACATACATTTTATCAAGGAATGATTTTTTTAGTGACACGCACAAAGGGACACGCACAAAATTATAAAATAATCCCTGCTCGTGAAGTTCCTAATAAAGGTAAAGAGAGCATCAAGTTTTTTAAATAGTTTGCTAGTTTTAAGCACAAAACAACACAATGGACTATTTGCCATGTGCCCACTGCTGGAATCGATCCTCGATTTTTAACGTTAAAAGTCTTTAATAGGTCAGTGTTGGCTCTTATATGAATAATGTAACGTTTTTTTTTGTTTTTAAGCAGGTATCAAAACCTGATTTTTAGTGTTATGAGCCTTCAGACTTACCGCTGAGCTAACGGGAGGCAAATATGATAATGATACCATAGTTTTAAAACTGTATATGTGTTTGTAAAAACTGGTATTGCAAGTTATAATGTTACATGCTCTGCTTTTCAGCCATGGTTGCGCTATAATGTGAGGTAAATCCCACTATTCGTTGGTAAAAAGAGTAGCCAAAGAATTGGCGTTGATTGGTGTTGAGTAGCTATCTTCCTTCTTATCTATCACTTCTAAATTAGGACGACTAGCAAAGATAGTCCTCGGGTAACTTTACAAGAATATTCAACAAATAAATATACTGTTTCTGATTGCAATGATAATGTTTCCATAGCATAACTGTGGTGGACTATATTTTGCTTTTTCGACGTAGTCGTTGTTAGCTTGAATATAAGATTTCTCGAAGAAAAATACGTAAATATTTTTCAACCAAAATGTGCTGTGATTAAGAAAATGGTAATAATAATAATATCATTTTATTTCTAAAAATTCTCCCTTGTAGGGTTCGAATCCCATTCACAAGAATTCCAGTTAAATGACATGAACCAATACAAAATCGTACTGGTTTTAATGGCATTTTCATGCTTATTGTGTACATCATTAATTATCATTATTGTCAATGATTTTTAGGACATTGAAAGTATTAGCTGCCGTTTCTAGCCCAAATGGTGTAATGAATATAGAAATTAAAATAATTCAAAACATCAATAGATCCACAAATATATGAATATGCTCGGCAAAATGTCAAAGAAATTCATCAATCAGTTTTAATTTATTGACATAGAAGCAGAAACAACAATGACAATAGAAATATTACATTTCTAGATACGGGATATATATCAGAAACATTTCATGTATGTTTTTACCCTTCCGGTATGCATAGTATCACTAAACTTTAACATTATGCCAGTGAAAGTTATCTTTCGACTGTGCTATACGAAGCAGTTCTTGTTGGCAAGATACCTGATACGCTATTCTTTGTCATTCAAAACGTAAATTATTTACAAGTGAAACAATATTTATTATCGCAGATTTATATTGAAATTGCTATTGAGGAAATTTTTTTTATTTATAATTCATCTTTAAAATGATCAATAAACAAAGCGTTTGAAGCTCATATCATTCTCCAAAGGGATGAGGGATGAGCTTCCTTGTCTTACTTTGGTGAATCATTTTGTAGACGTTTGCTAACTGTTTGACAAAGACATCGTTTTGCCAGAAAAAAAACCGTGTTTTTGTAATGATTGGTTAGTAAACGTTTGGTACTTAAAAGTAAAAGTCGTAAGAACGTTTGGTTGGATTATCAAAAGGCACAGCGTACGGATATATTCAGCATAATATAAAACTTGAAGGTAAAAATTAAACCTTTGTCCGGCAATAACTAAAATGATGCGCCTTGAAAAGTAGTCTTAATATCAAACAAAGTAGTAGGTTGACTAATATTTATTATATGTATGCTTTAACCTAATGTGCATAACATTGGCTAATGTTTCTCTTTATTACCAGAATCTCCGTGAGAGACGTTTTATCTTTGAAGATTACAAGGTTTAATAAGTAACTACGTAAGGAATGAGAGTCAGTATATAATTGTACTAAATGAAGTACTCTGTTAACTTTCCTTTGTGAAGTTCAAGCTCTCACGCTGGTAATTGTCAAATTTGTCACGTAAGAAAGATTTTCGAGCGTAAAACAATGCTGGAAACACGTGGGAAGTTTGTATCAGTATATTTCACGTATTACTAAAGAATGTCTGGTATTTATTAATATATGACTTACACCTGTCCGAATAAGAGTTTCAGTTATTGCTCATGCATCTTCATTATTATGCATATTTTGGCCTCGCATTTGGTTTTAGAACGTCTAAAAATTGTGTGTGCATCAAGTAAGAGACGGTATAGCCATTACGTATTTAGTATATGGTTTGTACGTATTCGAGATACTAGATGTACTTGCGCAGGGTCCCCGACAGTGTTGTGTTTCGAGAGTAAATAAAACTAAAATAAAGAGTAACAAATATTTGTATTTCTTGCTTTTGAAATTCACATATCATGCTTTGTTGTAGCCTACATAGTGCATAATTCTTCTCGCGATTCATGGCATGCGCACGTTTAACTGACGTCACGACAGTACAAATTGCAACGTTAAGCATCCCTTCTGTGACGTCATTTTAGTGTCTACTGACCGACTGACTGACAGACAACACAGTACTGTATAGTAGTGCCTGTGATTAAAACAGGTGACCCCTCCAGGTGGCCTTTGACCTCCTTTCGGGGAAATAAGTGGTAAGTGTCAAAATATGTGTGCCTGTCCATTTGTTAGTGTACACTTATATATGACTCCTAATTAACAAAATATATGGATGTTATGATTCATAACTATTATTGTAAAGTTGTTCTTTCATTGTCGGGTTCTTTCAGATTATATAACGAAAATAATTTATAGTCCATTCCACATAGTTTGTTTCTTTCTTGACGCTTTTACAAACTTAAACACTGTGGTAACTTGTAAGTCACTTATACAGCCGCGTTAACTGTACAATACTAACGTAAAATAAACTTACTTTATACAACTTTACGGCTGATTAACCAAATAACTGAAAACAAAACACTGACAAAAACGCAGTGTTTCACTCTACTGAATAGAAATAACTCTCTCTTTGATGTTTCACCGAACCTCGTATTTATAAGCTGTTCCTCGACTTTATCGGATAATCAGACGTCAAAATTTTTAGAGATTTCTAGGTCTACGCTATTCTGCGCGATATCCATGAACAAACAAACAAGTCTACATTATTACTTTTCGATTTAAACGTCATGCGCCCTCTGGCTAACATATTAATTGCACATTCAGTTATATGTCTTTTATTTGATAGTGAAAAATGGAAAAACAAATTAATTATTCATGGGGTCCGTGGGGAAAAAATAATAATAAAAGGGGTCCTTGGTGGTGAAAAGGTTGGGAATCACTGGTTTATATTCTTCAACTTATATTTCAGTGGCACAGCGGCATAATATCAGCGGACTTAACTGCTAGACACCGGCTTTCGATGCACAGATAGTTCTTTGTGTAGCTTTATGCTTAACAATAAACAATGAAAGTTACAAATAAACTTTGGTCATATATTATAATTTCATACCATGTGTTATTTGAACATCTCCAAATCATTTTGATAACTGTTTGACAAAGACTTCGTTTTGCCAGAAAAAAAACAACGTGTTTTTGTAATGATTGGTAAGTAAACGTTTGGTACTTAAAAGTAAAAGTAGTAAGAACGTTTGGTTGGATTATCAAAAGGCGCAGCGTACGGATATATTCAGCATAATATAAAACTTGAAGGTAAAAATTAAACCTTTATCGCCTAATGTCCGGCAATAACTAAAATGATGTGCCTTGAAAAGTAGTCTTAATATCAAAACAAAGTAGTAGGTTGACTAATATTTATTATATGTATGCTTTAACCTAGTGTGCATAACATTGGCTAATGTTTCTCTTTATTACAAGAATCTCTGTGAGAGACTGATTAAAGAATTTGATGAAATTACACATTTTTATTATAATACATAAAGACCCCATGCAGTAAATGGCGGAATTAATTGTAACATTGACAATACTTTTATTCAATTTTTTACTATTATTGGGGACATTTTGATCACGGCAGCTATTTTTTCGGCTTTATTCGGGTAACTGTTCATCTGCATTAATTTACACGTATCTATATTCTTATTATCTGGGAATGGATATTGAACTATTTATGCCAATTTATTATACATACTGGATACATAGTATAAGGCTTCTGTTAACTGCTGACTACTGTTACCAAATTTTTTTCAGGTCTAAGTATCCCGGAGGCAAAGAGAAGTGGGTGTTCACTCTACATATTTCACACTTTTATAAGTAAAGTATTAATAATTCGTGATTTAGCTTTATTTATTCATTAGCTAAAGATCTGCTGGAAACATACAAAAGACAAAAATAAATTAAATAACTTTAGTTTCATATCTTTATTTTCGAACAAGTTTTGGTTTCAGGTTTTTTAATATACATTAAATATCCGTTAAATCATATAATTTCACAGCAACATAACTATACAAAAACTTGACATTAGATATGGTTTCAGATTAGTTATCAATTATTATATATCACCAATTACAACAAAAATTATGTATTTCAGAGAAACTAACTTACTGAAAAAATCGTTGATCAAGCTATGAAAACTTCCATGTAGCAAATCAGATGTGCTTCTAGAAGTTTTATTAAACATAATTACGTTTATTCTTGACAAACCTTGTATAAAATGTGCTCTATTTTTGTTCCTTTTGGATCTTAAGGATATGAGAATGTCCAGGAAGCACTCAGAAAATCTAAATGCAATCTTAAAAATATTTCTGCGAATTTTTATATCTCCTTTTCTTAGTAATTATAATCTTCGAATCACTGACTTTTTTAAAATGCCGTTCATTATTGGTGGGATCCACATAACGTATCATATTAATATATATATAATTATATGTTTCTCTTTATTACAAGAATCTCTGTGAGAGACTGATCAAAGAATTTGATGAAATTACACATTTTTATGTAAAATACATAAAGACCCCATGCATTAAATGATGGAATTAACTATAACATTGACAATACTTTTATGTAACTTTTTACTGTTATTGGGGACTTTTTGATCAAAAAATGTCATGGACCCACAAAACAGTTTAGAAAAACATGTTTAACGATCCCATCAAGTCCAGGATCCATTTGGGAATTCTAGAGCTAACAGTTCAAAAATTAACCTTCCAAGTACAGTATATAAATTTGAGCATTTCTTTCCCATATAGATAAAATGGATACAGGTGTTTCCTATAATCATGGTTCGAGTACTCCGATTTCAAGTGCGGTTGAATGTGCATCAACTTACATTTCATCTCAGTGACACATAACCATAAACAAAGTAAATGGGTAAGAACATGTGAAGACAAATTCAAACCAAACGTTTGATCTCGGGAAATCAATAGCAGTTAAAACTAACTACTAGATATATTATTCAATGTAGCAGCCTAACAAGAAAGAAGTTTTTAGTAATTAAATGCCACGAAGTTCGACAATTATGAGATTTTCAAAAATAACATGTATTCAAACACATTCACTTCACCAAAAATATCTACAAGTTTGATCCTTTAAATATTTTTACAGATATACTTTTATAGAAATATGATAAATAACTTGAGCTGTTCATGACACTTTTTACAAGTATAGTGAAGTAAGTAGTACAGATACAAACGGACGAAAATTAAGCGACTGTATTTGTATTTTTAGCTTGAGAACAAGTGGTGTTGGCACTTATTGTTCAAAGAAACGAAAAAAAAGAGTTAACAAACATCACCCAAACCAAGAAATTTACATTTTTATGATATGTTCATTTTCTTTACAAATGCAATTCATTTAATTTATTTATATCTTAATAGCATCTTTTGAAATAGCGTTGTTGTTTGTTTATCATAATTAAGCATAAACTAAATCTGATTATTAGGCTACATAAAAGCAGTAAATGTTATTCTAAATCAAGATTTGGATCGGGTCAAAAGTGATTCATTAAATTCCCTAGGATTAAGTTGTGACGTTTTATAAACAGAGTTAAAGTTATTCTCTACAAATATATGCACTTTCATTGATTTCAAATTGTACACAACTGTAATATTACAACTCTGTTCAATATTATCAAGGTTACAAGTTTTTACAAATGCGATCCCATTAAAAGATGGACAGCTGGAATTACTTAACCGCATAAACAACCTAGTTATGATGTTACTCATTAGAGAAACAAAAAACTGTACGATGGCATTGACTCAAAGTTTTATACCAGTACAATACAACAATAATGTATTTAGCTAACGTTCGGATAAATATTCATCCACTTGGATCAGAAGTACATGGTCAGATCCGGGCGCCCATCTGACTGTGATGACTTGGGTAAAGGTGTTACGCTAACGTCTGGGTCGAGTTCCGTCTGAAAGTAAAATAAACATACATACTGGGATGGAACTAGTGCTCTTATATTTAATACTATGATCAAAACTAGGATTAAACCAAAGTTTCTTTAAGGTGAATCAAATTAAATAGCAGAAACATACAAAATACTGGTATTATTAAAGTTAAATAGCTATTCATACATAATAATGAATGTTAAACATAAGCAGATAATCTGTCTTATCATCATAGGCCAATAGGTTAACGAACTTAGATGTTTGTCTAAAAATTACACGCAGTTTGCAGTCATCAATATTAGTCCTTTGATTACTTTAAAATGTTTTGCTGTTTCTAAAAAAACAAATTTCAATTTACAACGTTCTGAAGGCTATCACTTTTGGCACTCCCAAAAAAGGTAATGCAATTTTAGAAATAATAATTATTCGAAACTAAATTCTTGGAAGATTTTCTATATAAAGATTTCAGTTTGATTAAATAATGTTCTTAAATAAGAGTAGCTACAGGTTGATAGATGCAAGAAGAAATGGAAATTAGAAAACATATTTCAATTTGAAAACAAGCCTCATAAAGATTACTACGGTACGTTCTGTGATCATATTTCCTTAACCACTTTCACAAATTTCCATAAAGTTAGAAAGATTATAAAAAACAGATATAGTATTTTAACATTTTACTAGCACATTACTGGGCCATCAGTGACAAATTTGTTTTTATGTGGGAACTTGCTTCATTTTCCAAGGACTGCAAGTTATCATTACTAAATAAAACATTAATGGAGACAGGGTAATATAACCATAACAGGAACCATTGATAAAAGAAAATATCAAATAAATAGTACAAAAAATTTAGATATCTTGCATACTAAGCTGCCACTAAAATCTATAAAGAAATTACATTTCAGATGATGTAAGCAGTAACCTAGCGTGTTAGTTATCTGATGTTGTGGGAAGTAACTTACCATGCTAGTTCTCTGATATTCTGAGAAGTAACCTACCATGTTAGTTCTCTGATATTGTGGGAAGTAACCTAGCATGTGAGTTCTCTGATGTTGTGAGAAGTAACCTAGCATGTTAGTTCTCTGATGCTGTGAAAAGTAACCTACCATGTTAGTTCTCTGATGCTGTGAAAAGTAACCTACCATGTTAGTTATCTGATGCTGTGAAAAGTGACCTACCATGTTAGTTCTCTCGTCCTCCCAACTTAGTTTCTTTACTCTTCGAGGAATGGATCCATTTGGCCAATGAATGTTGTGAATTTTACTATGATTGGGATTCTTTACTACATTTCTGACATGACCATTGGCGACGTTTTCCTGCGAAGTTTCCCCTCTCGTCTCGTGACTAGATTGACGATGCCCTGCGTGAGTGAGTGGACCTCTAGAGCCACTCTCTTGTCTTTGGCTTGTCTTCACAGAATGATGATCTGTTGGTATAGCAGCATCTGTAGCCTCTGCTTCCCTTAGGTTAGACATTTTAAAGATGGGATTTTCCACACCAACAGGATTTGTTTGGGACTGGGGCTGTTCTGGAGGTTTTCTACTTGGATGGACGGTGGTCATATAACTGGACATTTTATTAATGGGAGGTTGACCGTTGGAAGTCATAATGGTTGGCAGTCTATCACGATACTGTTTACTAGAGAACATATAAAAGATATAAAAAGATACACTAAATAATTAACTATGGAACAGGAAGTCGTAAATAAATGGTAGACATACCCATAAAAATACAGAGGGCTGGGTACGTTATATTAAAACGATCTTAAGTATGCAAATAATCATGTCACGTGACAACCACAGCCAATATGAAGTCGTGGTGGTACGACATGTATCAGAACTAAATTTTTACACTGTTTGGTGTTATTTAGGTAGTGCGATGCCACGGCAAATTGATCGCTTTTTAGAATGTACGTAACAGCCCTCCGACGCCAAATATTAATACACTCGAATAATAAAATATATATTCAGATCGAGGATTTAGAATTTATAAGTCGGGGATATCCCTTGTAGTTAATGGTGTTGGGAATAAAGGAATGGGGATCAACTCTATGAATAAGGGTCAACCAGAAAGTGACCTGCAAAGTTCGGCGTTTTGTAACAGGAGAAATCCTCAAACAAAAAGGTCAGTGGAAAAAGCCGTCCATGCTACGTGCCCCATGCAACAATGTTTAAAATTATCAAGAGGAAGCAAAGTCATCATGGTAAGGTTCGCCAATATGAGGGTTTCAATCATACCTTCCATTTAACCGTCTCATACTTTAAGCAGATTGAAAATAAAATGGATATTCAGGCTATTCCAAACTAATAAGTAACGGTCAAGTCATTAGACACAGAGCCGATGGATTTCTATTGAAACTGGAACTGGAAACCGTCGTTCTTGTAGATCATATGACTTATGGAAAGCATGAAGGGAGTAGTGGTGTTTTTTCTTTACATGACAGCCTTATCACAGAAACGTTTGCAATGGAAACTACGCTGCATGGATATTATCAAGATGCACGGGCATCAGTTACAGCATGATCGGACGTTGCGACTTGGATTGTAACGACGGGGTGAGGCTCCAAAATCGTTTTAATATAATTTATTCAATTTACTTATATACATGCATTTCATTGAGTAATTTTATCGTACTAGCTAGACCTTTCACAAACACATAATATATGTATTCCAGAAATTAAAAACTAATGGTTTCATAGTATAGTGTAAAGGAATACCGCAAAATTTATAATAAATGTGGTCGTTTTTTTTTTCATAAAAAAAATCAATAAGAAAAATCAAGGAAACGAAACACGTGTTTCATTTCCTTTTATGTACACCGCAAAACACTCATCTTGTAAAGTTGACTTTTCTTTCCTCCGGTATGTCAGTTCTTCGCAAAATTACAGCTTCAGGTAACTAAGGGACCAGAAAAAAAACAACAACAGAAAAACAGATTAAATAACAAAAGCAAACATTATACATTATATTAGCCTTTTATACGTACTTTTTCAAAATATAGATCGTGAGAGTGACAATTACTACAAGCAGTGTTCCCAGTAAGACACCAAAAACAACCATCAGTACAAAGGGGTTATCTTTTCTATTGGGTTTCATTACACTTCCTAACAGCATATTTTCAGGAAACTGAACAGTTACAGGAACACTGGTCTGGCGTGGAGGGACTCCATTATCTGTGGCTACGATAAACACGTGACAGACACTAGTGTTGAGAAACTCTAGATTTCGAATTCGAAGCTCCCCTCGATTAGAAACAGCAAAAACCCTAGAAAAAACAACAACAATCCACAAGAAAATGTTAATTAATTCTATACCAATTCTGATATAATAGTTCAATACATATTGACAAGTCTCTACAGCACCACATGTTTCATCCCCGTTTGTTTTTATATTTGATTAAAAGTTACAGACAACATTAAGTCTTAAACAAAATCTATGTGTCTTATCATTATTATAAATCAGGGAATAATTGTAATATAAGGGTATCGCTGAGTTCTTTTGAGTTCAAATTTGCTTTAATTTAGCAATTTCTAGTTCTACAGTGAGTCAACAGGAAGTTTTTAGAGTTACAATGTTAAAATCCAGTATTCGATTCTCACCGGTGAACAGAGCACAAATAGCCTATTGTGTAGCTTTTTGCTAACATAACAGCAACAGGAATTGCTAAGTTCTCATCTCCAGTTTGCCTTTTTTTTTGTAAACTTTAGTCCGTAATAATCCAGATAGTTCAAAATTAGTTTATGTCACAAACCGACTTCCTCAGGACTGTATACTCATTCCGGTAGTTTTGCTCCTAGAATATTGAAAGTGAATTTAGTGAAAGTTCTTGTGAATATTATTTGCAGGATTGTAAGCAGCTATTTAAGCTATACAAAAAATGATTTGTATTAAAAGAAAGTTATTTTCAATCCTATGCAGATTCTATCTCAAGGGGCATGTATGTGTTTCAATCTGCTTTAAAAGAATAAGCGGTCGTTTAGCATCTATAAATGTATATGTTCTGACTATACAGAAGAGCATGTAGGCTCCTCCGTCAAATAATTGGTTGTCCACTCGTTTGTTTGTTGTTAAGCACAAAGCTACACAATGTGGCCACCGCGAGTATCTGAACTCGCCTATAAAACGTATAAGCCATTAGACTGACCACCGATCATTGTATGTTCTTGGTGAACCTGAGCATGCGCCAAGTATCGTACGAAAGGTTTCTACAAAATGTAATGTCGCTGCTACAATTTAAAACTTTATGATAGTATAACTGAGAACAAGCAGTGATGTCCAAAAGAGTTTGGCAATTGTTAAACTAAAGCCGACGTTAAATCAGCATCTCTTCGAAATTTTGAATAAAGCGAATACGATACCACTCATACGAAAGATCTGATTCGTTTCTATTAAGATGAATATCATTATTTATTAAAAATAAAAATCTTACATTTGCCCTATAATGCTATTAATTTGTGGCAAAAAATGTCAAAACTCACTTGGAAAATGGTCCCTTGATACTTAAGTCCACTGTGTCACCAATATCACCATCCCTAACCTATTCAAATACAAGTCATGTTTGAAGTTATTATATGAAGATATGGCACATTAAATGTTTCTATAATTTTCATTATCTGGAGACCACAAAAAACATAATCAACCTAATAAGGTGTTTTATGCAAGAATTTAGTTCTTTAAGAAGCAAAAGAATATTTCTCTCACAAATAACAAATACAGCCACAACAAGATACAATCTTAAAATAAAAATAAATGGTTACAATCGCTGAAGGGGGAAAAGTATCAGGTATTTTTTTGCAGTTTGTAATATAAGTTTACATGAAAGGAACGTTAAGAATAATATATTTAATTAGCCATACTTATTACCGGGTTGGTTTGTATTGTTATTTTCTACCTAAGTTAATACTAAACAAGCAAAAAAAGTTTCTAACTTGTACAGGTAAAATATGTCGGAATTACTTTTGTATTAGTAAATAAATATCTATAACTTAAAAAAATTGTTGTTGTTGTGAAACATTCGAAATATTATGTACCAGATTCATGTTTCTTTACCGTACCAGTATTATGTACCATGTTTATATTTGTTTACAGTTCCAGTATTATATACAAGGTTTATATTTGTTTACAATTCAGTACTACGTACCAGTTTATTATTTGTTTCAGCGTCAGTACTATGTACCAGTTTATTGTTTGTTTGCAGCATCAGTACTACGTACCAGTTTATTGTTTGTTCACAGTACCACTATTATGTGTACCGGGTTGATGTTTGTTCACAGTAACGGTATTATGTGTACCATATTTCTATTTCTTTATCTTACCAGTATTATGTACCAGATTTATTTTTCTTTTATCTTATCTGTATTATGTACCATGTTTCTGTTTGTTCACAATACCAGTATTATGTACCAGGTTTCCTTTGTTTACCTTACCAGTATTATGTACCATGTTTCAGTTTGTTCACAGTACCAGTATTATATACCAGGTCTAAGTTAATTCACAGTACCAGTGTCATATACCAGGTTAAAGTTCGTTCACAGTACTAGTGTTATATACCAGGTCAAAGTTCGTTCACTGTACTAGTATTATATACTAGGTTTTTAATTCAATACTTATTATGAAATAGAAAAACCAAAAAAACTTGTCACAGGAACACGAATAATTATATCGTAAAAACCCACTTGAAAGAAGTCCTGTATCTAACTGAATCATTTCCTGAAGTTTAAATGAACAGCAATTTGTTTTTGTGTTAAAGATTTCTTTTTCACCATGGATATTGAACAGTAATGTATTTGAAAATAAAAACAACAGCAAACGAGCATATTTTCACCCTCACTTTTTCTACCTAAACGAAGGTTAACTCTAACGTTAAAGAATGCTGAGATTTCTAGTTGTTTAGTTATACAAAAGCTTAACAATTACACCATTAATACAGTCGCTTATTAATTTTTACAGTAAATTCCTAAATACTTTAGTATTTAACTTTACGTCAGTAACACTAAACTGTAACATATTCATCTATATAACAAATCATGTACAGTGATCGATATCGGGTACCTTTTTGAAAGAACTCAATTAAACCTTCACATATCAACACAAGATTATTCTTTAAACAAAAAATAACCAGGTCTATACCTCAAAATTAATCATGTTAGCTACAGGCTAGTAGAATATTGATTTCTGCTATAAAACTATCGAAATAATGTGTAAAAAGGTAAAGGAAGAGCCAAATCACAAAATGTCTTTACTTGTACTATTTTAAATTTTCTTGCTTCAAGATAGGTTCCCCAGTGCATGGGATAATGTAGTACGTGCATATAATCAAGTAGGACACCTGTTAAGATTATAATGTCAAGATGAAGTCATCTGAAAGATATATTTAATATCGTTGTAACTTTATTTTTTCAAGTATCTCAACTTTCATATCTCTCTCATTCGAAAGATATGCACTCAAAATAGACGCAACCTTCACAAACATGGAATAATAACATCTACCGACCTTAGAAAAGTTCAACCGGGTTCGGTAACTGAATGACTAGAAGAGATCTATACATAAGCGTGGAAAGCTGCAGATATTAAGTATGAGATTTATCGTCTACGTTATCTGATTTCATCTTTTACTTCTATTTACTGGATAATCTAATATCCTGAATGATGAGATTACATTCACTTTGTATATTACAATACTAGAGAGCCATATTTGATGATAAACTCTGATGGGTAAACCATGCGTTTGTTCTGAAAAGATTCGGCCTCCGATGAGATAACGGTAAGAATACGAACTAACAACGCTAAAATCATGTGTTCGATTCTCCGCGGCAGATAACATAATCTGGCTTTGCTCTGAAATAAATCAAGAATTTGAAAAGATTTTGTTTACGAGTAGTAAAATATCCGTATTTAAAGATTTATTAAACCTTTATCAGTCAGATTCATAGGATTCTACTTGCTATACAACTAATTACAACTTAAAATTGATGTATGAACGCACTTACCTCTACTTTCCCTACCAATGTTCCAATCCGAATCTCTGAATCTTTCACTAAAAATGTATACTGTGACTCCATAAAGACAGGATCGTTATCATTAACGTTCATAACAGTAATATTCAGTAAAGCCACGTCACTCTAGAGAGAAAGTTAGAAAAAACAAAAGCAGAAAGAAGAACTTTAGATATCTAAACTCTATAATTAACCAATACACATAAAAATATAATACGTAAGAAAGAAACTTGACACAATTAATAGAAATAATCTGAATGTCATTGATGTTGTAGTGAGTATTTTAAATTATCGTGACTAGAGACAAAAGTTAAGATTTTAAATATCTAAGTTTAAAGTTCTGATGACCGTAGGGAGTATTCTTTACAGGAAACTACTGAACTTAAATGTGTGAAAAACGTATTTAATTCACAGTTCTTCCCCTCCTTTTTCATCTTTTTAGAAACAAAGATATTATACGTCTCAATTGGTGTATATGTATTTCAAAAAGTGTAATTTATTACGAATTAAAACTTTGCATTTTCCTTTTTTCACATCATTTTAAATCGAAAAACATATTTGATTAAGAATTTTCCACTTGTGCAGAGTAAAACAGATATAAATTAACTCGATGTATAATATACACGAATAATTAATCTTCAAAATAGTTACAGCTTTGTACATATTCTATTTTTATGAAGTTGATTGTTTTGTTATGGAAACAGAAGATAACAAACCTGACGACCATCTGAAGCCATCACACGAAGAGCAAACTGTTGTTGATTTTCAAAGTCCAAAGGCTTTGCAATAATGACCTCACCACTTGAAACAACATGAAATAATAATATTTATCATTGGCATTCAGAAAATATAAATGCTACTCCAACAAAGCAAATTATAGACATTTTGTTAGAAGATTTTATATGTATAGCTATTCATAATAACAAAGTAACTGAAAATATAATTACGAAAAACTTTTAATCAAACTCAATAGATGGCGACCTATAGTAAAACTGGCAAATACTTTTTTTTATATATATTTAAACACAGTACATAAATGGTTTCCAGAATACAATCCGTGTTTAATTAATAAAAGAGCAGTATGAAACAGAACATTTCAACTTACGTGTTTCTTACAGCAAATTGTTCATCTGGATCATCTAACAGCTGAAATCGAACATTCTGAAAAAATATATTATTGATAATTATTGAATAATTTTGTGGTGAAAAACAAACAAATAATGAGGAATGAAATATTAGATTTGATACTAAAAGTAATTTCAACAGATTACCTAAATAGATAGTTTTCTTACTTTCAATTTATTTGGTTTTCGAATGATTTTGCAATTGAATTATTATTGCATTTAAAAAAAAAACGTATTGTTATAAAACTGGTGAAATATTAAAACGTGCTTGATGTGCTGAGGAAACAAATTTCTAGGAATTGAATAATGCGGATTCAGTAAAATTTCATGTTCAGGTTTACTTTTGTAACTGATTCTGTGATTGGCGTTTTCTTCAAATTGCAAAATCATACTTGGAAGCCCGAAGGTACATATGACTACAGATAATTTTTACTGAATTTACTTCTTAAACAACATTAACTAAAACAAAACGGGTCCTGGTAGTTTAGTTACTATAACTTATATAGTTTGATAAAGTTTTCCTTTGTAAAAATGTGTGTTTACGTAGCTATGGAATGAGTATTAAAATTAAGAAAAGAGCAACAGTAAATTCTAGTAGTAGAGTAAAGTTGTGGAAATCGTACATCAATTGTTGTCGTGGTTAGTAGTCCTATATCCTCACTTAAGTCAAATGATCAATTAGCTATTATTTTTTATTACTATACCATCATTATTACAAACGCAAAAGACATGATATACAGCCTACAAGAAGAGGAAAAATAAGAATTTATAACCAAAATAACATCAGCAATTCAGGAAGCCATAAAACGTAAAAGCCACTATAACATCAAACTAAGAGAAAAAAAGATCTTCGGCGAACTTTAAGAAAGACAACACTTCACCATAAAATTTCTACCAAAGAGGAATGCGCCAAAACGTTAGTTGATTTTGGTTTGGTTTTGTGATTTGTTTGTTATTAAGCACAAAGTTACACAATGGGCTATCTGTGCTCTACCCATCATGTGTATCGAAACCCAATTTTTAGCGTCGTAATCCTGCAGACTTATCGCCAAGTCACTGGAGAACAACTCTAGATGGAGAAAGCCACTACAAGAAGATGAAGTCTACCATCAACGGCCACACAGGGAAGAAAAAAGATTAAACAAACAACTACTCGAGAAACATAAAAAATAACTTGTTGCAGGAACAGTCAAACAACTTATATTACACCATAGTACCATCCTACACCTAATATTCCCCAGTAAGTTTATTGTTTATTTGTAATTAAGCACAAAGCTACATAATGGGTTATCTGTGCTCTGCCCACCACGGGTATCGAAACCCGGATTCTAGCGTTGTAAGTCCGCAATCATACCGCTGTACTACTGGGGGGGGGGGCTCCCCAGTAAGCCTATTCTCTTTGTCTCGTAGTTAACTGCAAAGATTCACCATCCCTTACCTAGATATTTTGTTTATAATATCACCATTAACAGGTAAAACATCCTCACTTGTTAAAAAACTCAGTACACTTTGTAGAGATTATAAAATCAACGACAATAATCTCATAAGACAATGATTAGCTTCGATGGTTCTAACTGATTCACTAACGTAACAACCAACCTTTGAAAACTACAGATACGCCACCAAGAGCTTCAAAACCACATAACTTCAAGAAACGCAGTCAACTGACAATCTTCACGATAAAAATAATTGGCAACTTTTGGTATCAACACAGCTTACTTTCAACATAAAAATAAATACTTTCAACATGAAAATAAATACTACTAACAACAAGAAAATCTATTCATGGTCTAAACACTATCTCTGCTAATCAAGAACCTCTACATGAAACATTTCGAGTACAATGCCCTTAAAAATTACTGTTCTAAAACAAGGATTTGGTTCGAATATAATGACAATATGTTAAAAAGCCACAGCATAGTATAGTCGTTAGTACACACCAAATCATCTAACGATCCAATGAAGAGCAAGAATACTATTTACATATCTTGTGAATGTGTACTGTTATACATTAGAGAAACAAAAGAAAAAAATCAAACATCAAGAGCATAATAGACACACAAAACTCTGTAGCACCAAATAAAATAAAATAAAATGGTATAATATTAAATTAACGGAATATGAACCACATACAAGAAGAAGAAGAAATACAAAAGAATCCTTCTTTATATCTTCTGAACTGTTTGTTTGGAATTAAGCACAAAGCTACACAATAGACTATCTGTGCTCTGCCCACCACGGGTATCGAAACCCGGTTTCTAGCGTTGTATGTCCGCAGACATACCGCTGTGCCACTGGGAGGCTTTCTGAACTGATACAACGCTCAGCCAACCTAACATAGACGTCAGAAAAACGCGGATATCCCTCTTGAAACTATTCAAGTAATTAATTGGTTCAAATTCTAATGAAGGAGACCTCGAACGTGTGGATAGCACATTAGCCTTTCTCAAAAGATGACCCAGGATCGAATCCCATTCTCTGATATTTTACATACAGTCCTTATCAGGTCTTTCATGAAAATGGCCGTAGATTAACAGCTGAAACGAATGATATAAACTAATTGATAGTAAAAGTTAAGAACTAATTGATTATTAGACTTAAGTGATCGCATAGCCTAACCATTATAACGACTTCTAAAACATGCACTAATGCCTATATGTACACATACATACAATTATATGGTTCATTTTCATGCCGATTAAACCTCCATATTTTAATTAATTTCCAGGCTATAAGCCTTTAATTTACACGTTAAAACTCTCGAAGGTAATATTTAGTATAATGGGTAACGGTTAATGATGAGTAAAAAATGAATATGATGAGACAGTAAAGAATCACCGTATCTGTAGATTTTGAAGTTTGGATAGTCAAGATGACTGCACCAGGGGGAGTACTTTCTAAAACTGTCGTGACATAAGCGGTCTGTAAAAATTTGAGAACCGTTGGAATTGGCCGATTAGTTGTGACTGTCAAAGTGGTCAGAGAATACCTATCCTTGTTGTCCACTTGTGTGGCTCGAATCACTAGAGTCAAGGGCAGAGGTAAGTTTTGTGGTAGAGGTCTTTTGATGCTAACTTTTCCAGAGTTTCGATCAAGTTCGAAATAGGAATATTCTTCAGAATCTGAAAATAAATACAAACTGTATCAAACAACAGATGCTATCAAGTAATTATGTTGAGCTTAAGTGCATTGGGTTCGGGAATCATCTAATCTAAGAACAATGTTTATGATAATATATAGTTTAGAGGCTTACGCAGTCCCCCGGTAACTTTATATACTTAGAGCCCCAGAATACGGGGTTCGATTCCCTACGGTGAACGCGGATGATAGCCAAATGCGGCTTTGCCCTAAAAGGCTTACGTAAAACTTTTTAAATGTAAAATAAATCTAATTACAGATTTTTGAATCATATTTGGTCCGTTTTTTTTTGTTTTGTTTTTAATTGTGGCACAAAGCTACACAATGTGCCATCTGTACTCTGCCCACCACGGGTATCGAAACCCGGTTTTTAGCGTTACAAGTCCGATGACATACCCCTGTGCCATTGAGGGGTGTTGGTTCTTTTACTTCTACTTTACAATAATTACAAACTCAACTCCAATTTAGAAAGTTTTTTTATTAAGAAATTTGGCCACTCTATAAATGAATTTCCTTTACCAACGCCTAGAGGCTGGAGAAATCATGCTTCGGTCATTTTATTTCAACCTCACATGATGAAGCCTAATGATTACTGCAAAATGTAAATAGATATATATTTTTATAATACAGATTCAAATATTTTTGCCATTGTAAATAACGCTTATTTAGAAAAGGGTTTGCTTCTTTGTTATCAAGCGCAAAGTTATACGACGAGTTATTTGTGCTGTGCGCACCAGGGATATCTAAACCCGGTTTCTAGTGTTACAAGTCTCCAGACTCAAGGAAAGAGAATTATTGAGCTGAAAAGTAAAAACATTTTCAGGAGTACAAAATTCAAAGCCAACCTAATTGTATTATAATTTTAAAAAAGTAATTAGATATCAGTTATACTTACAATGACATATCTTGAAATGTAAAATTATTATCGCGTGCTAATTTTATGATTTTGAAGAATACTCGAAACCAATTATGAATATAGCATTTCAAATTTCACATAGTTGTCTTAAAATCACATGTAACTTACTAGAGTTAAAATAGTACTCAATCGGAGCCGTTATACCAACATCCGGGTCTTCAGCTCGAATTTGACTTGGTAATATTGTTAACTGCGTACCCTACGAATGAAAGTAGAAATATTTTAAATTTTCAAACACAAAACTTTGTTTTAAATGAAAGATACAAATTTCAAATCATTACAGCATTTTAATTACAAATAAAGAAAACATGAAAAATAATTTAAAGCTCTCACAAAGCAGTTTACATTTTCTATGAAATTTATTTATTTATTTTATAAAATGATTAAAATTTCTTATTTAGTTTATTTGAAATTGGTAAAGAAGAGTGAAAACATAACGAGAAAACTTCAATTTAACAGAAAAATAGCAGCAAGTGAAATTGGGTTTAGGTTTTGTTTGTTTGTTTCAGGATTTCCCGTAAAACTACACAATTCGTAACCAATTCTGAACTGATAGACTAGGGGGAAGAAAGCCAATAAACTGCATTCACTAAATGTTGAGCTAAATACTGTTTGTTACACAGAACATGGATCCGTAGAGGGAAGGCAGCTAGTCAACAGCACCCACCGCTATCTCTTGGGTTACTCTTATCTGACTTGATAGTGGGATTTGATCGTCACGTATAACGCAGCCACGGCACCAGAGCGCGTTCTTGCCCATGGGATGACTATACATCGGCATTCGAATATATTTTTGTTTCTTATTTTCCTATTGTTGTTTTTTTTACGAAATCCTCCCTAAAAAATTGCTAACACAACAACAATCATTGACTTTGTATGCAATTTTTTTTTCCTTTTAAATTGAATTACTTCAGGATCAGACGGTTGAAACATTGATCACCAGGTGTTTTAATAAACGGATAGGTGGAATATATCCACATGATCGATTTAATTTCCTGTCATCTGTTTCCGTCTCAAATGAAACAGGGAGCAACAAAAATATAACCCATGATAAATATCCCCAGACGATTATAAACCAAGTGTTATGTGAGTCAAATTACAAAACTAATACTTAGTCAGAAGAAATGAAGGGCTTGTAAGAGGTCTTTATATTTGAATAATGGTTACATTAAGACGTAATTCAAGTTTAAAAGATTGCTTGTTATTAGTTTACAGAACAATAAACAAGGTTGTTATTTGTGTTGGCATTTCGCCCTCCATTGACACAGCGATATGTCTGCGGACTTACAACGCTAGAAACCGGATTTTGATACTCGTGGTGGGCAGAGCACAGATAGCCCATTGTGTAGCTTTGTGCTTAACTTCTAACTACAACAACAAATGTTAGCTTCTCAAATGCTTCAAGGAGCATTTGTTTTAAAATATATGTATAAATTTGAAAGTTTAGAACGATAAAACGTTAGCATTTTTCGAACGGTAAGCTTCTATTAATGTATTACTGTACAATATTGAAAATAACTAAGGGAACTGTAAAGGAAGAGTGTATAAAAATACTATCCTTTAGCTTTCTAAATGAAGTGCGCTAGCGTATAGGCATTTCTGTTGATAGTGTACATTATAATCAGTGCTTATCAGAAAGTTTCATAGCAATATAAAAAGTATAAAAGTACAAGCAATCATAACATGCTAAATAGTACTATTAGTAGTAGTATGATCCAGTCATGACTCCAAAGACTGAAATAGCGCATCACAAGTGAGTATAAATTAAAGTTTTGGCCAATCAATGGTTCTCCATGGGAAAAATTACGGAAAGACTCCATGTTTTAGTAGAAACTGTATTTAAGACTCTGTATATAAAACTAGCACTGTTAATAAAACAAATGGTCAAGTTAAAAACACAAACTCTTCAAAAATGGAATTATGTATCTGAGTGATAAACTTTCTAACAACCTTCATATAAATGCAAGGATGAATATTACGTCGAGAACAGTAAGATAGGCAGAGACTGAATATGTTATATTAAAGCGATTTTTGGAATCTCACCACATCGTCGTTTTACAATACATTTTGAAGAGTGTCCAGTCATGCTCTGTCTGACGACTGTCTGACAATCACTCTACCGCACATTTTCAATTTCAAAAGGGTTCATTGCAATAATTTCATGTCCAAATCAAAGAAATCCTCCCTGCATACTTATAATCTATCTGGTGTATGAAGGCGACGGTTTCTCAGCACCCAATTCAACAGTACAAAGAAATTCAGTGGCTTGACTGATATGTCTTTGTATGGAATAACATGAATACCTGTTTCGTTCTCCAACTACTTGAGGGATTCAATGATTAAACGTATATGACACTGAAGTAACTTGTGTTACTTTTTCAGACGGAGATCTTTCTTAATTATGTTGCATACTGTTGTCTGGGGCATGTAGATGGCTTTTTCCACTGACCTTTGTGCTCGTAGATTCTCAACAGTTACATGATACTGCACTTTACTTACCACAGCTGAGCTATATGTTTTGTTGCAGATCTCTTTCTGGATAGTCCTGGTATCCCAAGTTGATTCATACTCCTTTGTTTTCCAATGACAACAAGTACAGGAGATATCGCCACTTTAGAAATTCTAATTTCCCGATCTCAACACATTTTCTGTGACATCATACTTCCTACTTAATGCCAAACAAAGTCAAAAATGTAGTTTTGATATGTTCCTTTCCACCGCGACTTTATTGCAGCTGTGGTGACTTACTGATTTTCATATTCAAAATCGTTTGAATATAATGCACTCAATCCTGTGTACATTGGCAAGAAGTGATATCAATGAACTTGTTTGAAAAATGCTGCTGAAAAGAAGCAATCAAACTAAAAGGTTGAAATGGGCATTGGATCACAAAGTGTGGAATGAACGAAGTTGGAGATATATATACTCTTTAAAGAACTTCAGCAACAATCACTTAAAATTTGGTTGTTGGGGGAGAGGAGAACAGTATCATAGTCCATGTACAACATCTACAGAGAGGCAAGTTTGGGGCTGCATCTCATCCAACAGTGTCTTTGATGTACACAAAACTGATGGCACCCTGACTGCTAATAATTACAAGAAGGTTCTGATTCATCATGCTATTCCCTCAGAAACACGACTCAGCGGACGGAAATTCACCTTCTGGCAAGACATGGATCCAAAGCATGGTTTCTAATCTCACTAAGTAAGAAGAGTATGGTTAACCAGCAATTGTCATTACCGGCTTCATTATCACTCTCAGTAGTATTTATCATCTTTGACCTGAACGGAAGTTAACGTTAACTTTATTCATAGATGGCGCTACGTCCTTACACCAAAGATTCTGAATCATCACGCTATTCCCTCAGAAACATGACTCAGCGGGAGGAAATTCTCCTTCCAGCAAGACAGGGTTCCAAAGCATGAAACAAGTGCGGTGAAACAATATTTTGACGGTAAAGAGGCCAATGGAACACTCACAAACATGGCGTAGTCTACACAGAGTCCCTATATGAACATTCTTGTGGATGTATGGTCTTATGTAAAAACCGAGGAGGTCAAAAGCGACTAAACAAGACTTGGCTTGTGGGGAGTAATATAGGAGATTTGGAGCAATACTGTATAAATCGCACATTGATGACTGTATGACAGCATGAAAACAAGATGTAATGCTCTGTGTAAAGCAGAGAGCTCACCTACAAAATACTAGTGCATCTTACAGCTTATTTCCTTTTCTTTTGTATTTCCTATAACAATATTTTTACCATTAATAAATTCACTGTCTAGTTTGCCATTACTCGTTGTTTATCACTTCTATACGTGTATCGCTTATGTATGTACAGGATTATTTTATGCTCAATAAACTTTGCACAAATATTACATATATTTTCAGAGGAAATGTTATGACTATAGAATAAGCCTTTTTATGTTTAGTTCGCATTTTCTGGAGTTGTTTCTATCTACGATTGTCGTTAAAAAAGTAATTACTACTGGCAAGCTTTGTACATCCTGTATAATCACGGGTTCATTGATTGTATTTTAATTAATGATCAAACTGCGAGAACATATACTAGAGCTATAATTACCGGCGAGAGAATTATCTAGTTTGACTTGGTGTACTTTGAATAAAGATCTGATGTTAGGCCCACAGAAAATGAAAGAAAACAACTCACACCTGATAAATAGAAAAATGTAATAAGCACTAATTTCAATATACCTTTAAGCATAATAAAAGTGTGTAGAATGTGTTATATAGAATCCCATTTATTATGCAATGTGCATTATATAAAACAATTATATAAAAATTTGAAGTTTCAAGAGCCAAAATTGTGAACTTCCACATTATTCACTTCTATTTTTTTTACACACTGCTTGCTATCAGTGTGTTTCACATAATGCATGACATTCAGTAAACTTATGTTGTTGCCGAACACAAAACTCACTGTAAAGAACAAATCAAAACCATTAGGTGAAATTATAGATTTTACATTTAGAATACATAGAGAACGCAAGAAGTAACTGGTGGAATTAATTGTAATGTTAACGGTACCTTTGTTTATACTTATTTTTGTGACTCGTAGTTCTTAGGGACCCTGTAACCAACAAAGTCATGGAGCTACAAGCAACTTGGTGCTTAAATAGTTTATAAAAATGTGTTTACAAATCCGATGTGGTCTTTAAACCTATCGGTAATGTTAGGGTTACATATGTATCACAGAAAGAAAGAATATTTGTTTCTTGTTAAATGAAAGATTACATAATGGTCTATTTGTGCTATGCCCACCACAGGTATCGAAGCCCGATTTGTAGTGTCATAAGCTTTCAGACTTACCGTTGAGCCACTTGGAAACCAAGGAAGAAGATCTTACAGTTTTGTTTTTTTTTGTTTGTAGTTAAGCACAAAGCCACACAATGGGCTACGCCTACCACGAGTATCGAAACCCGATTTTTAGCATTATAATCCTGCAGACTTATCGGTGAACCAGAGACCTGCCAGAACAAAAAAGTGGCAAGTGGAAACAAAAGATTCTGAACATAGCCAAAAATGTAAAACAAGGTGTTTTTAATATATATTAGCACGTCCTTACCCTCTTAGGAATTAGACCTATAATATCTCTTTGCATACCAACCATCTTTGTAAGATGCAAGAAACTTAAACCTAATTATTTAGACACACCAGGAGATAAAAACAGAAAGTAATCGTCTTTTAATCTATCTCGTTTGGTGTTTAGACGGATAACCACTAATTATACTTGTTTTATACTTTATAAAACTTTATATAATGTCTTATACTTTGCTAAAAAACAACAACTTAAAATGCTGGCCAATCGCTGATTCACATTTTGGTGGTAGAAATTTTGTGAATCAGGCGATTGGCCAGCATTTACTAGTGAACCCGACTTGTGCTGACAACTACACGGATAGCAGGTTTAAAATTATTGCAAATGGTCTGTCAATCTTTCATCTCTATATTTTGGAAGCCACCTTTATTAAAACATACAAACCTGTTCTTTGCCACCAAAAAGAATTCCTATACAATCTACACATCCTTCAGTGGTCTGTGACACTTCCTGATTGGCTTAAGAACATGCCAATCAGTGATTGCCTTACCGGCCTACGTTGATCTTACTCATTTTATAAGCTGTACTATTTCCTATAGATCATTTTCCAGACGGTTCTGCTATGATTAGTGTCTGGCGAAAAGCTTCAGCAGATATTTCCATTGCAACATCTCAACCAACAATTGGTCCAGTTATCAACGCTATTTCAAGATCTACATATCTACATGTGCCGATGTTTCCGTTTATCAACGTTATATTTTAAGATCTGTGCAAGAACTCAGCTAACAGATGTTTCCGCATATAAAAGTTATCTTCAAGTTTTGTACACCAAAACAACTTTAAGTAAAAAAAAAAGAAGAAAAACATAGGAGAAAAATTGTTAAGACTGAGTTATATGTGGGTTGTCTAGTAAGAATCCACCTTTAAAATGCTACACATTTAAATTAGTGTGATAAGTAATGTGCTGAGTTCATTCATTACCATTGGACATGCTTAAATCTATTGTCAGCGGTTTAATTCACAATACATTGCTCAAAACAATTAAATAACAATTTTAATATTATATCTAAGACAAGGCAAAACAGTTGTTATATATCAACCACTCTCAGTTCATTATTATAAAGATTATGTATCTGATGATCAGTTATGTGATTTGAAATGTAAATTATTGGCCATTAAACCTACGATCACGAACTGGACGTGGTTGTACATTTTTATAGTTCATGAAATTGTTCTTCAGTATGGAATATGATCACCAGGAACAACAAGGTAAGACTGACACTTGAAACCATTTGACCACCCATTTGAAAGCGCTGTTTGCAGGGGATATTTAGTGTCTAGGGCCACTTGGCGGTATGTGATACACTTCCAAAGAGCATCTCTTACACATTCGATGGGCTTGAAGTTTCATAAGCGTAAAAGCCACATCAATCGGTCAATGTTTTCTTCTTCAAGGAATGTGTCGACTAGTTTAACATGTTGGGACTGAAATCAAAGCCAGTGAATTGCACCAACGTATAGATCATAGGATGTCGCCGCTATCATATATAATTAGCGGTAGTATTCCGCGTGGTGTAGAGGTCAATATGTTAAACAATGCTTACTGCTGTTCACAGCCTACTTCCTACACTACTATAAAAATGGGGGGACTCAAGTTCCAGATTTTATTTTCAAATAAGCATAGGCCTGTTATCTTTCTTCAGGGCGAAGCTCGCTCACCTGTGAAACTAGCATTGCTCCTCCTAGTACTGGTTCGTTGAACGTGTCCTGGCATCATTGCAGGCGATTGCCATGAGCGTAATGCATCTCATTAGTTGCCTGCATACAGGCTGGTCATGTGATATCTGTGTTCAGTTTCTTCCCATTTGATTGAATCTTGCAGTCTGTTCTCTACGATTGCAACGAGCGAGAACTGACAGATACGATTACCTATTTGTGTTATGGATGGTGGTCTGCCTTGTCTGGCTGTCAAAACAACCTCCTACTAATGACATTTTAAGACACTTGGAGCCAATTGGCAACAGTCTGTTCTCTACGATTGCAACGAGCGAGAACTAACAGATACGGATTACATATTTGTGTTATGGATGGTGGTCTGCCTTGTCTGGCTGTCAACACAACCTCCTACTAATGACATTTTAAGACACTTGGAGCCAATTGGCAACAGTCTGTTCTCTACAATTGCAACGAGCGAGAACTGACAGATACGAATTACCTATTTGTGTTATGGATGGTGGTCTGCCTTGTCTGGCTGCCTCCTACTAATGACATTTTAAGACACTTGGAGCCAATTGGTAACAGTCTGTAGTGATTGGCTGGCTTTAATATGTTCAGTGGTTCTCCACGTGAGTAAAACATCCAAATATCTTATCCGAGACCTAGCCATGGTTCATGAACATTTTAGAACTCTTTAAACTCTATACATCACTTCAAAGTGACAACAGAGATATGATTATATGAGATCATTATAGTTTAGGCTGGATGACCAACAATTTACATTTAAGATCACAGTCTGATTATCAGATGTCCAAATTTGATAACAACAAACTGGGAGAACTGACTGCCATATTTTAAAACAGTTGTAACAGTTATAATATTACATATTTCGATTGTTTTTAACAGTGTGTCGGTGTTATAACCTTTTGTTTTGGTTAAATCACTTTATTAACGTTATTCTACGACATTAAATTTTACTTGAGAACTTGAAATAGCTTTTTAAACGATAAAAGCAACAGTGTATGTATGCTAAATTTCAAATAGTTCCGTAACTGAAAATCGCCCAAAATATGCGTTTCTAAGACTGCTACTCAACATGCATATCGATTACTAAGACTGGATTTAAATGATGAAAACAACGTACAGTACGGATATTTTCTGGCAGTACGGTGGTGTACTTGTCTGCTTGAAACTGTGGATTCTGATCGTCGGCATCCAGAACGTGTACCGTCAAAGTCGTGAAGGCACTCTTTGGAGGATCTCCTTGGTCCTAACCAATAGAAACAGTATCGATATTTTGAATAAATGCGGTTAATTTTTGTAAATTTCAATTATAACTTTGATTTTTAGAAAATGTTAAGCTACTCAGCTCATTAGCCTAGTGTGACCTGGTCGACAGCAATTATTTATGTTACATGCAAGAGGACGTTAGATCACGAATAATTTATGTCATCTTTACTGTCACCAGATATTACCCACGTTCCTAAAAGTTCATTTGAACCAGTCCATTCATTCTTGTCTGACAAATTGTGTACTTACACTCTAAGTGATATTCGATACGTTGGAAGTCTGAAGAATAAAACCACAAACAGGAAGCAAATATCTCGAAGAGAAACATACAACGAATTAAAAGTGCTTTAGCTTCACAAATCTATACTATAATAACGAATATGCAAGGTTTTATAATTAATATTAAAATAACTTTTATTCTTTGTAATTTCCAGTACTAGTATCAACCTTCTTTTTCCATAGTGTGTGGACCAGTTAGAAAATAACATCTACAGCTTCATACTCATTTTGTTTTTGTATGAATATATCAAGTTAAATTTTAATCTACTTATAAAAGGTTGCAAGTTAAGTTTATTTCAGTCAATTTAAGTCCGGTTTATTTTCTCTAATCTTGTGAGAAGGCTTAAGGCACATAATATGTCTTTGTAAATTAAGTTTTTTTTAGTAACATTTAGTGACTTGTATGTCGTTCTTGTGTCGTATTCACTCAAGCTAATAATAAGTCTATAAAACCTCCCTACCTGGCTGGTTGCCAGCCTTTAAAAAAATGTGAACAAATTTCTTGAACGTGGTCACCAACCATCTAGACGACAAAATGACTTTTCAAAAATACAAAATGTTTCGCTAGACTGAATAAATTCTGCTTAACGCAAAGAACAACTATACAGCAGCGGAATTCTTGAAAGACAGAGTTGCTCGAAGTAGTACGTTAAATAGGATTTAGACAATCAATAATTTCAAAGATATTTTTGTATGGATAGGCATTATGTTGCGCACAAATAACTTTAAAATCTATTTAAAATACAAACAAAAAATAATGATATAGATTTGAATGCGATATTTGGCTATCTTATGCCTACAGATTATTTCAGACTTACGTTGGCAAAATCTATGGAAGCTAAGTTCTAAGAAGCCATTGAATATGTGCGTTTTCAAGAGCGTTATTCATTATTTTTATGAATTTTGTAATACAACTGCTATAGCGTTGTTTGCCAAAGTGCTAAGTTGTATTTCCTAAACAGAGAAGAATCATCCAAGTAGTTTATAGAGTTTCAAATCCACGTAAACATTTACAATCAGAGAGTGTGTTAATGCGTTTGTTTTGATCTTTCTTTGCGATCTGCTTTATGTGAAAATAGTTCAGTTTCTCTGTGCCACATAGATCTGTAAATATTTCAGACAGACAGACTTTAAATTACGTATGTTTAAGTTACATTACTTCTACGGTACTACCACACACAAACACATATATATAAACATTTTCGCTACACAAAAGAAAAAACTGTTAACTTCAAATTCGATAATTAAATTTTATTGGCATACGCTTAAAAGTAACAAAAATAGTAACCAGGATTTCAGTGAAGTTTCTTTGTTTTTCCACGGTGCACGGGCTTTCGTCCAATTCCAGTTTCAAGAATAGGAGAACCACTCTTAAAAACACAGCATGCACCAAGCTGACATAAAGAACAGATTCAGCCTTAGCAAGGACAACATGTATCAGATCAGTATATAAGGAAATAGAGGTTTAATTAGCAGGACAAATGGCACCAGACTGATATAAGGAAGCAGAGATTAAAATTTGGCAGGGCATCATGGATCAGGTTAGAATGAGAAAGTAGAGGTTCAACTAGCAGGCCAACTAACACCAAATTGAACTATATATATATAATGAAGTAAAATTTTAACCTTGGCAGAACAACATCTACCAGGCTAATATAAAAAGTTGAGGTTCAACTAGCAGGCCAACTAACACCAAATTGAACTATATATATAATAAAGTAAAATTTTAACCTTGGCAGAACAACATCTACCAGGCTAATATAAAAAGTTGAGGTTCAATCGGCAAGACAACATGCACCAGTACTTTAATTCTCTCACGATTACAGATGACAATGTACTGTGACGTTTTCAAAACACCATCTGTAAACATTTCCGCTATTCTATAAACATTAGCTTATCTTGTTGTAACTAACTGTTTGTTTATTTTTCCCATTTGGGGGCGATACATCGTTCTACAAACTTATCTCTCATGTTTGCTTCAACTCTGAAAACATCACTATAAATAATAAATTTAAGCTAACGAGAGAAATATTAAGAACAAAATATATTTACAATTATTAGTCTATAACATATACTGTATGTCTGAAAGTCAGCGAATCAGTTTTTTTATACTACGTTGACTATTATGCTAAAATCAGAGAACAAGAACTTACCTGTGCTTTTATTGTTATTGAAAATTTGGGGAGGGTCTCGAAGTCTAGTGGAGCAGTTAACACTAGGTGACCTTCCAAGCGGTTATCGAAAGCCAAAATATGCTGTACTCAAAGAAGAGAACAAGTTTTTGAAACAACTGATTATACAAGAATCGCATGAATAATTTGGCAAGCAAAAAAATCAGCGCAACAAATTTATCTTAGAAACCAAGTAACAATCATTCTTCTATGATGAAAAATAAGTAACTGAATTTATGCTTGTTTCAGAAAATGGGTAGAACAGAATATTACTGTAATTCTAAAATGAAATTTAGTTGTAATAACACAGAATACAAAACAAAATCCCATTGTTTAGTTTCAAAAGGTTTCGTCATTAAAACACTTGAGATAGAAGAATGTGTCAGTAATTTTACATTATCAATGTGCACAAGATAAGAATGCTTTGAAAGGTTATAATCTTATTTGATAGGCACTTACTTGAGCTTTAAAGCAACTTAAGTTTGACTACTAATTCAAAATAGAACATACACAGATTTTTTCTACATTTCTTTCTCTACTTAATAATTACCCACCAGTATGAATAAATCTGGAAAAGACAAATCAGACAATAAAATAAGCCAGCCAATCAAAATGATTTGGCGACCTTAGCAACAATTTAGATTTAAAAGATAATTTAAGCATTTCTTAATGTAAAATTAGCCACGTACTGCAGATTACTTTTACATTATCACATTGTCCTAAAAATATGAAGTGACAACTGTTTTCTGTAAGAAAGAAAACATATGATTGAAAATTAAATAGACTATAGAATAGAATTTCGGTCTTTGTGTGTACATAATAAAAGTTCACACAAAACATAAATTACAACAATTTTTTATTACGTGTTAATATATTACTAGAATTTTTCAATTATTTAAGAACTGAAATGATCTTCAATGCACTTAAGCCTGATTTTACCGACTTCGTCCAAATAATTATATTCAGTAAAATCCTTGTAGCAATAATGTTTTATTTTTATGTAGGCCTGTGACTTATTTCTATTGGTATAATATACACACCACATCTCACTCACGATGTCTCTGGTTAGGTAAAGTTTTAACAAGTAATTCTGTCTGTCTTTCTTCCATTTTTTCTTCCTTATTGGCTATATATATTTAGAATCAGTCTAATCAAAGTAGAAGGAATATCTAGCAAAGAGTGTTTAGAATCTATTGCTCTAGAACTACAAGTAAGTGTGAGATTTTCTTGAATATAATACTCACCAGTTTCTCCCTTTTTCATCCTTTAAGGCCAGTACGTTAAAACACAACACTATTTACTGCTCATTTCGAATACTTAGTGTTTACATTTTCAAATCTTGGTTTAACATTAAGAAGAATTTACACGTACAATATATTAATCAGCAATATATATTTTCTAGCTCACAATTGTGTAAATACTTGTACACGAATGACTAAATGATATTATTTTATCTATGACAACTGTAAAAATGGAAGATATCGTTATAACCATTGCGCAGCAACATCTACTACTTTGAGAGGATTTTTTTGTCATGTATGAAAGGTATATATTTTACACATGTATATTAAAGTGTTCTGGGACAAATGCATTCAGAATAATAAATGTATGTTCTTACAAAAGTTGACGGTTTTTCATAACGTTGCTCCAGTGTTACAACAAAGTGATGTTGCATCAAAACAACAAGTAAGAATCCGACGCTTCTTCTTTTGTAAGCCTAACAATGAAATCTGAGTTACGAGCACAGCCTTATACATAGTTTATAAAAACGGTCTGAGTAACAGAAAGCCAGTAATCTCGTACTTGGCACTTGTAGAGACGAATGTTTCATCTCGCAAAGTTTACAGTCTTCCTGTCCACAAATTTCATTTGATATAATAGAAACTCTGCATTTCGCACATTACAACTTTGTTCTCGAAACCATTTACTTGGTCAGAAAATATTCTTTAAAGCAGTCTTTGTTGAGTCTTCGCACGTGATGATTAACATTTATATATTTTTTAAAATTCGGAAAGAAATAGATATGTTATTTAGGGTTAATTTTACTTACATGATTCAATGAAAATATTCACAACATAATAACTGCTTACGTAGAGAAGTGTGACCCGTAATGAGAAAAATTATCAGTGCGAAACTGTTTCAGTTATTATTGTTGTTTTTAGGCTCAAAACTAGACAATAACCATCTGCGTTTGTAAGCCCTTTAGCTTACCACTGAACTAACGGGGGACAACTGTTTCCGAAACCTAATTCCAAGTTAATAAAAGAATTAAGGTGGAACACTTACGTAAGCGAGCCTCAGAAGCCAAAAGGTTAGAGGTGATAATAATAGAAATGAAAGGTAGTACGTTAAATTTTCCAACCTATATAGAGGTAAATTTTTGGTCATCATGACTCTTGTCAATGACATTAGTGGGGCAAAGCTTCTAAGATGTCATTCATTATTCAAGACTTGATCGTGCGAACGTTTTATCGTTTATCCATGAGGAAGGTTCAACTCTATGCAATTATGACATCGTGACTCGAGCCTTTGCATCTGTTCACGAAATATACGCACGATTGCTTAATCTGGTTGCCTTTGGGGCATGAAATCTGACCCCTAGCGGTAAATTCACAAGTTATAAACAGCCCTTCTCATTTGGAAGACCATGTTTCAATAATAGGAGCTTCTAAGATGTCCTAATGAAAGCAATATTGTATAATTTCATACTTTATGTTATAAATAATAAACTCTACTGTGAAGCACTGACGCATAAAACAACATTCCTATTTTACCTACATCTGAATTCCTGATAAGACCTTGCATTTTATGGCAATAGAAACGTTTACCTCATGTAAATGAAACTAAAACGTTAATAAGAAAATCTGCATTTGTTCGTTGGTTTCCTCATTGTCTCAAATTCATATTGTCTTGTTATAAAATGGTAAGCTTGAAAACGTGTTGACTCACCGAATAGGGTCCACGTTTCACATAATATTCCACAGTGCTGAAAGGACCAGCTTGATCAACATCAATAGCTTTGATGTTTTGCATTACCACAGTCCCCACCACTGTTACCTACCAGGGAGAGATTTGTGAACATTTCATCAAGCACGGTTTTTAGAAATTATCAATATACGTAATGTAAAATTACTTTCTTTTCTTACAGTGCCACATTGATGTATTCTGATTCCTTATATCATTTTGTTAACAGCTAGACAACCCATATAAACTATCCAAACACTTATATAATAATATTAATCATTACAGTGCCACATTGATGTATTCTGATTCCTTGTATCATTTATTTAACAGCTAGACAACCCATATAAACTATATAAACACTTATATAATAATAATAATCATTACAGTGCCACATTGATGTATTCTGATTCCTTAGGTCATTTTGTTAACAGCTAGACAACCCATATAAACTATCCAAACACTTATATATAATAATATTAATCATTACAGTACCACGTGAATGTAGTCTGATTCCTTATATCATATTGTAAACAGCTAGACAACCCACATAAACTATCCAAACACTTATGTATAATGATATTAATCATTACAATGCCACATTAATGCATTCTGATTTTTTATATTATTTTGTCAACAGCTAGACAACCCACATAAACTATCCAAACACTTATATACAATAATATTAATAATTACAATGTCACATGTATTCTACTATATCCATTGTCGACGAGGACTTTCGCACAATACCAGAGACCATTAGTCCGGTTAAGGTACATAGTAATGGTCGAGGCGCTATTTATATCAACAATTGCTTGAACAAAAACTATTTCGGTGTGAACTAGATTAAGTTGATGAATTATAATTTCTATCAACTTTGTCTAAGTCTTTACAATTTAGAATTAGGTATATAATTTTTATGAACATTAAATTATTTATTTCACTAAAATGTTTATTAATACGTGCTGAAGATCTCACCTCGCTAAGATTTAGACTGTAGGGGGTTCCTACAAATTTTGGAACGTTATCATTGGCATCCGTGACAATGATCCGAACTGGGATGGTAATACTCTATAAGTACAGAATAATCAGTAATTAGTAAAGTTGAGGTTGCAAACATTATAATCATATTATATAAACTTTCTAGAAATAAATCACCGCAATATATAAACGCTCAAATATATATGTGTGAAAAGACACACTCCTAAAATCAAAACAAATAACAGCCAATTTAATTAATGTGAAAACAATTAGTCAAATTTATTATTTGATAACTTTGTATCTATATGTGCGATTAAAATGATCAAAATGCATGCTTAAAATTCCCTTTCATATCCCCCTTAGAGTTCTAAGCATAGAATGAACTAATCATATTCCATTAAATTTCTATCTTACAAAATAAGTCACTGACAATATTTATTTCTATAAATTTACATAACTGTCTCCCGGACTCAGTGGCTTTAGAGAAATTTCTATCTGAAACATTTCTATGGTCGTTATTACATTGTGCATGATGTTTATACATAAAAAAGTAATATATATATGCATATAGTGAATCCTAAGTAAACGGTAACCTTTTGTAACGATTACTTTCCGTTTACAAAAATTTATCCTTATAATATTAACTTTATTAACTTATTATACACGTCCCATTATTTGGTGTATTAGATTCCAGCGAAATTATAGACAAGAAAAGCACTGACTGAACAAAATAATTACTCTTTCATGTATCCTACAAATAAAATAAAAATAAAACTAAATTCGAATGCTATGTACGCTATGCAAGAACGTCTAATTTTTGATTTAAATGATTACGTGTTTTCAGTTTAGTAAGAAATCAATAAATAGTCACGATAAGTCTTATTTTTAGTGAATGTCGTTCAATGTGGCCCGGCATGGCCATGTGGTTAGGACGCTTGACTCGCAATCAGAGCGTTGTGGGTTCGAATCCCCGTCTCACCAAACATGCTCGCCCTTTCAGCCGTGGGGGCGTTATAACGTGACGGTCAATCCAACTATTCTTTGGTAAAAGAGTAGCCCAAGAGTTGGCGGTGGGTGGTGATAACTTGCTACATTCCCTCTAGTCTTACACTGCTAAATTAGTTCTCGTGTAGCTTTGCGCGAAATTCAAAACAAACAATCAAAACAATGTCGTTCATTCACTTTGGCGTCAATATTTTTCATTTCACAGAGACAAGTAAACAATGAACGAAAAACCTTACATCTGAAAGTCATATTCTTCCGTTTTCAATGGAATTCATTATACCATATTATTATAATCCCCAGGTTATTGTACGCGATCGGTTCAAGGGGTAAAAGTTCGTATACTATTGAAAAGCAGTAGTAGACGAGATTCATCGCGGAAAGATCGAAAATGTTTCACTAACAGACGACAATAGTCCATTATATCCAAGCGAGCTCTATCAGGGTTACTGTAATCTGCCAAGAAGGTCACAATTAAAATAAAAAATACACAAGGAGGTCTGAGGGTCAAGGAGAACGAAGTCTCGTGGAAGAACCGGGGTTTTATGCTCTAGTGATCTTGAACTTTATCACAAGTAAGTTTAGTGACAATCAGTTATATATATAATTATTACTATTGTACCACTGAATATTACACAATTAACTAACCTTCGCAATGGATACAGTACTTGTACTGCGTATCTTGATTTGCACGTAACTGGTTTAGATAAAACTTTATTAAACGGAGTAGCATCGTGGCGGGAAGAATTCAACGTCTGGTTAAGATGCTTCAAAGATTAGGACATAGTGGGTACTTATAACTTCAATTTTAATGGAATATTTATATATATATATATAATTTTTTCTAACTTAATCCTAGAGATGATTAATTCTGAACGTGAAGCGTACAATATATTATCTGAATATATGAGCTGTAACGAATTTCCGTACAGCCCGACTTCGCCTAGACCTAGGATGGCAAAATTCTGGCGGAATCTTTTGTTTTGTTTTTTAACCGCTGTTGAAGTAAATAAATATATGTAGCGAACACAACATTAACAGCACTTCAGTATTGAACTTGTGTTTATATCTTCACTGACATGTACTTTAGTGTCGAGACTAAGATATATATAAAAATATTTCATAGCTCTTGGTTGAGATTATGTCCGGCCCACGCAGTGCGGGGGCGGTACTTCCGAAAGGGCTTAGGGGGTGGCAAAAACTTTAATACCTCACTAATGTGGGGTGTGGAAAAGTTAAGTTAACATATATTTGTACGTGTGGCCAGAGCGAGTAATCATTGCCTTTGTATTTGACGTTTTAATCAGATGATTATTAGAATACAAAAAAAGTATGAGCAAACGTCCACAGTCACAGCTGTTGTCAAAACTCTTACCGGGTCATTTTTCCCCACTTTTGAGCAACTGACGTCTACGCTTAGACTCTGGACTCCATCCACTCCTTCCTTGTCTAGCCTCTGTCTGAGGACAAGATTTTTAGTGTAAGGTTCAATAGATATAGGAAGGTTGTCATCATCCAGAGATAACACTATGTCACCGTCTTTACCAGCATTTCCACCAACCTGTAGTTTCCCAAGAACATAATCTGAAGAAAACAAATCATATTGTCTTTATTTTGCAGTTTGTACACAAACACAGGGTATGTTCATTGTTTGTTTGTGTTTAAAAGTTGATCAAACTCTCTTACATAACTTTTTTTATCTATTACCTCAAATATTAAGCTTTACATAAATAGGTTAAGAAAATGTGTAAATACTCTTATAAAGTTTACTTAAAAAACAAACACATACCGAAAAGTGAAAAAGAAATGTTATTCTTTATATGTATATATATATATATATATTTCTAACAGGTGTACTGGTTTACTTCATTCGAGCCCCCCAGTGGCACAGCGGTATGTCTGCGGACTTACAACGCTAGAAACCAGGTTTCGATACCCGTGGTTGGCAGAGCACAGATAGCCCATTGTGTAGCTTTGTGCTTAACTTCTAAACAACAAACAACAACTACTTCATTCGATTTTATCTAATAATATTAATATTTTATATTTGACAACGCCTTTCACTGTGTTGATATTTCAATAGTGTTAAATTATCATAAAGGAAATAAAATTATTTGCTTAGCTACTACTGAATGCTATTAAATAGATGTAAACATTGTATCTTAATTTTGAACGTAAACTGCTTTTTATAATTTATTTATCAAACAGGATATATACAAATCACTTTTTTTTCTTTTTTAGGAAATTAAAGAATCTAAGTATCCCATGATACACCTCTTCACTTTATTTTCCGCGTCATTCATAAAATACTTGAACATGACTTTCAGTTACAGTAAGTCCAAGAAAGCAATGTGATGTCTCACAAAGGTAAGCCTATTTGGAGTAAAGCGGGTTAACATTTTAATCCGGTTTTATGAAGATTTATTTAAACGGGGACCCTTTGGCAGCCTTGTCATAAAGTGTAAATCTAAGAGTATTTTCCAAACTTACCAACAGGAAGCTCTTCATTTACCGTGAACGTCTCAGAGGAGCCGCCATTCGTTAGGTAACAACGATTATCTGCAAGGGTTAAAAGGCTTATCATAACAATCGAGACTGTTTTTGTTTTTTTCAATGAGCTTTCATGGACTCTTCTCTAAACAGAAATGTTCATCCATTCAACTTTGTGTAATAGCATTTGGCCTATTTTCATTAATTACTATATTGCCATTTATACCACTTATAATAATTGTTAAAGACTAAATTGTGATAGACAATACAAACTATTCATTGTTTAACTTTAAGACACATAATAATTTTACAGTATCATAAATATAGCTATGATATATGAATGATACTCGTATAAACAATTACAGGACACATGACAGAGTATATAATAATACCAATAGCTTGATTCTTGTCTTTACACTATCATGTATTAGTAAATGCCATAACTTATTTTTTATTACTTAAGCAGTCTAAACAATTTTAAACAACATGATCTATTAACATTTTTATTCCATTTTAAGCAGTAAACACTATTAGTCTAGTTTAGACAACTGTTCTCTGGTCGAAATAAATAGAGCATGCCATTTTAGTACACGGGATGAGACACAATCTACTATGTAGATAAGTTGGCCACCAACAGTTTCAAATATAGTGGATCACATCACCTCTAAGCCTGTCCAGAGTTTTGTCTTTAATTTAGGCAGACTTACATTCTACACATCCAAAATGTTTGATACCCGTCAATGAAGGTGACCCACTTTTGAAGTCCTTTGTTCAATTGGAAGGGAGACCAGAGGATTTATCTAGTTTTGTTTTCATCGCGGTTTGATGAGATATATTCATATATAGATTCAAACCTTACCTTTATTTTTTTCCCTAATAGACATATTTCCCCACTGTGGCTTAGCGCCTAGTATGTGGTAGGAAGAGCAAATAAAGCCAGTAGTTTAGGTTTGAGCTAAACAACAAACAAACTAATAATTATACAGAATAAAAGTTTATTTCTATGTGTGAATGTATGCTTAATCAAGCCTTATTGTCCATAATGGATATGATTCTGTTTACGTATACTTGTCTGAAATAAAAGGTTTTATATGGGCCCCAAAATAGAAAATTATAATATCATAGCAAGTTTTAAATGTACGATTATGTGAATCCTGGAGAAAAAGGGAGCTCAATCGTAAATGGTTTATGAGGGAAATAAAAAAACAAATAAAGAACGAGTTTCATATCATGGAAAAAAGTATACATTATAAAAATGACTTAATTGGTCAAACACTAATATGAAAATAACTGTTTCTACAAACATATCCGTTGGAATAAAAACGTTAATGTTTTTCAAGCACTATTTTATTGTATACACTATAAGAATTATAGTAGCATCTACTCACATGACATTAAAGCTTTAAAGTGTGTTTTACATTATTTAATGTTTTAATAAGGTGTTCTATAGAAAGATGATTAGTTTAATAAAACATTTGTTTATTAAGTATGTCTGGAAGAAGTTTTATAATGCATTGTTTTACAAAGCAGCCACTTCTTTGCGTAGAAGACGCTAGTAAATCCTGACACTAAATAATGATTAAATATTAATAACAAATCACAAATGAAAAATAAGAGATTATTACACAAGAATCGTAAAATCGGAATAAACATTTTCATATGTGTACTAACATCACTAATACGCATGAATTCGCAAGCTCCTATAGAATTGACATTGTACAAGTAAGTTTATTTGTAAGTTAATTGTATTACCATTAGCGAGTAAGTTTCTGTTAAAACTTGAAAGCGAAAACGTTATTTGTAAACTTAGGCCTACAACTGTATGGAAGTGAGAGTAGCCTGTAGCAAACGTTAAGGAAGAAATAAACTAATTTGTTATCGTTACGTGGACTGGACTTCGCATTACTTTCACTAATAAATTAAGAGAACCCACCCAACGATAGAACACGTTACAAAATATTTTTTTTTGCTTTCGTATATACTAATCACGTAAACTAAATATATATATAGCTATTGCAGAAATTTACATGCTTAAAGGAGGCCCCAACGTACTAAATACACTGGATCAAATTTATCTGATGTCAAACATTTAACAGTGCAATTTCCTGGTAATTAACATGCTAGAAAACCATTCTAAACACATTTGTATGTACCAAATGTTTTAGCCTAAGATTATTATTCAATAATGATATATGTATTTTTAACTCTGTTGAAGAAAGTAATTCGTCACATAATTGACAGAGTGTTAGGTAATATGTTTCCAGGACGACACTCGACCTTTAAATTCATTCTCAATGTTGGGACATCATCTGTCTCAGTTTATTTTCTACCCAGATCTTTACAGGCGGCGTTTAATGCAAAATGTTTCCATTCTGAATTGCTAAAGACTTTTCCCATAAAAATTACAGTACAGTTCACAAAAAAGACTGAGAAAACAACCCAGTAGGAAAATATTACTGACATTGCAAAAGTTTCAGAGTTCTGTTCATTCATCGATGGTCATTCTAACAAAAAACAGTTAATTTAACATACGGATGTACACGCGCACAGTAGCGGTAGTAAAGACAAGGGTAAAAAAAAGACAATGGAAAAAAAGACAAAAGAAAATTACACAAACAGGTAAAAAAGTAAAACAAAAATAAATTATTTATTCAAGGAATGCTATTAATACAAATTCGGAACTAAGCGTTTTACCTTTTCATTATCACACACTTTTGACTTTTTTTACCTGTCTGTGTAATTTTCTTTGTCTTCTAACCGATTGACTTTTTTCCGTTGTATTTTTTATCTAGATTTATACGCGCATATATATAGATATAAGGAGACACGCATGAAAAGGCATTTTACATATACAACAACTTCTCGAAATTTTGAAAACAACATTCAAATTCTAACTACTTCTAATAGTTCCAAACTATTATGTTTACCACACACAAAATAGATTGACCAGATTTGTAAGTTATTTTCTGAGAACGCAATGAGGTGTGGGAAAAGAGGACGAAAGTTTTGGGTTTCTTTATGTATACGAGGGCAAATAAATTTCACAACAGCTCTGTTGTGTTCTGAGAATTTAAAAAAAAACCTTAGTGATAAGTTGTACAAAATACTATAAGTAGTCGTTTTTAATAAAAACTACATTATACTTCCAAAGGGAATCCCACGCACTCGCTAGGTCGCATTATCATCAAGTTTTTTTTATAGCTAACCAATACTTAACTTAGAAACCAGCCAAAATAAAACCCTTCACGTCACGACTGTTCCAATTATAGGAAGGCTAGAACTACATAAGTGTTAAGCATTGTTCTTAACCTTTTACAGTAGACGTGATGTTTTGATTTGTGTTTAGGATTGTCACTGATAACTAAGCATATATATTTTGTCATATTTCAGTATCTATTTATTTTGTAACTGTTCCATGAATAATTTTATTTTAGCTACACATTAAAATAACGATCAATGTGCTTTATATAAAGATACGTTATATACAGTATATTTCATTACTGAAATAAACAATTACCTGATGGTATTAATATCTAGTAACGAACTATCTACAATGAACTTATGGCCTGGTTCAAAACATAATCAACATTCGGCATGAAAAGTAGCCAATGCCCTAAAGAACACAAGGTTTTGGTAACTTATACACAATTACCAGCTTTGGAACTAATAACCACAGAAATAAAAGCTACCCTTAAGGCATATAAAAACTACCCATGTAGAACGCAGCCGGACTTAAATATTTATAAAATTATTTAAGTGTTTCTTATAACATATGTTTTTCTGACTGTTTTGTCAATGTATATATACACAGCGTGGTCACAAGTAAATAGACACCACCTTTTCAGGAAAAAATGAAATTTCTCAGTCATATTCACGTGAATTAATATATTTATAATTTAATTAATATTTAGTAGATCTTCCTTTCGCTTCCTTGGAGTTCGTTGATTCTTTGGGGCATCGTGAGAATCATCTCGTCAATTTTAGACTGTGGGATTTTCTCCCACTCTTGCTTCAAAACTTGGAGTAGATCGCTCTTCGAAGTTGGTTTTTTGGTTGTTGTTTCTTCACTTGCCGGTCGAGTATGGCCCAGAGGTTTTCGATGGGGTTCATGTCAGGATATTGGCTCGGTCATGGGCAACTTGTGGATACCATTTTTTTTCCTGCCACTTTTGGGTGTTTCTAGCAGTT